GGGGGGGGAGAGGGGTAGGCCTGTTTTGATTGTGCTCGTAAAATGCTTGCTCACTGGAATGGATAAAATACAATATTCTTTGGATATATCAACAAAGTTGAAATGGTAAATTGGCCACCGTAACGATTACAAAAGCTGACGTTTCGAGCGTTAGCCCTTCGTCGGAGCGAATAGAGGAATTGTGGGTTGTGTGTGCCTTTAAAGGCAGAAAATGGAGCAACGTTATTGGTGGGAACATGGCAACGAGAAAAACAAGAATAAATTAGTATGTTGCATGCTTTGACGTAGATATAATATGATACAAACAATGACCTTCTAATACAATTACCGTGAATAGAGAGAAAAACGACAATCATAGCACATTAATTCTTCAAGATGAGAAACATTACTAGCAAACTTCAGGAGCAAAATAAGAAGTTTATGCTTAAAATTATTTAATCTAGATAAAAACAATAGCAGAAGAAGGAGATACACAAGCTATTTGCTTAAGATCAGTGTCAAGGCAATTAATAAGCAAATGTGCGCTTTCCAGAATTAGACCGGAAAGGAACTTGAAGATTGAGAGCATAAGCTCTGGTTCACGAACCAGTTGAACTAACTGAAGACAAGAAATTGAATTTACGTTTAAGACAAAGAGGAGCACCAGGATTATTAAGAATCAAGGAATAACCAAAGTTGCAAAGAAATTGCCAAAAATCCAAAAAGTTGCAGACCAAATTTCAAAAGTTGCAGCTTTAATCTCGAGATATTTTTATGTGAAAGTTAATTAAAAGCTATCTTTTTCGTTTTTCGCAATAATTGCTGATATTGGTCAAGGAATGGCTTGAGACTTAGCTTTAAAGAGTTTCTTCCAATGTCCTCGCATTTCCGTTCGTTAATGGTAAATTGACTTTGACAGCCATTTTTGCGCGTCATTATCCGTTCTAATATTAGATAATAGGCTTGCGGAACGTTTTCAAATTACAGTTTACGTGTTCGAAAGGGCAATAAACGTTCAAGAAATTCGCATAAATTAAAGCTTTCATATAAAACAGTCGACTTAATCGAGCGTGATATGTCCTCTAAACCTAAATGCTGCTCAAAAACTGCACAAAAAGGCAAAAAAGTGTTCGAGGTTGCTGGAATCGCAAAAAGTTGCTCCAAACGCCAAAAGTTGCACAAAAGATGCCGAGTGCTATAGGATTTTCTGAAATAATTGATAGTCTTAAGATATGTTGATTTTTCCCACAACAAACCAAAAGAAAACAGGAAACGGATTGAGGAAAGTTTGGTAGCTTAGAGCGTCGCAGAGACAGAATGAATAAACGTATTGAAATGATTAATCGCCTCTTTGTCGACTTCATTTCGAGAATTTCTCGGCGATATTTTCTAATTCCTAGTGAGTAGAACAGAGTTTTTAAAAATAGCTGCGACTTATCCCGAAATAAAAGAAGAAACAACGCAATTACCAGTTTAGGAGGACCTTAGAATTCACGACACAGCTCTATGTTTCGGTGTTCCTTAAAACTTCCGGACGCACCAGAGGACTTTTAAGAAAAAAATATAAGTAAGAAATTAGTATTATTTTGGTGATACTAATTACCTACTAATTTTTTTTTTCCTTAAGCAAGAAAACCCTAACATTTATCACAGGATGTCATATAATTTCCTCTTCTCATTTTAGACTGTCTGCGGATTGGCTATCTCTATTCTAAATTATTCCCGCAGCGCTGTTACCGATGACTTCTCACGCAGATGAGCAATCGATTATGATATCATCTGTCAGTTTTGAGGTTCTACTCTAAATACTAATGCTACCTAAATTAAATAGATTTTTGAAGCTCCGAACTAAACCACCAATGACATGCGGCACTGTTATCATAAACACCGAGCAATCATGTAAATTCAACTCTTAATCTGTATTCCTTAGCAGATCAGTTTCAGCATCTCAGTTTCAGCATCTCAGTTTCAGCATCTCAGTTTCAGCATCTCAGTTTCATTATCTGTTGGAAATTTTTCATGAATATTAGATTTTTTAGTTACTGTCCACTGTGAGCTATGCTTTGATCGTTGGTGTTACAACGAAGTCTGTGGAAAAAAGCTCTGCATTTTGGTAACTTCACGTTTTCCAAGGTATGTTTTAACTGAAAAAAGTTTGTTATGATTTCACGGTAAAAGTCTTATTACACAAACAAGGCACATTAGAAGTTCTTATGGTCTTGCTTATGGACCCGTGGCCCAGCAAACAGAGCTCAGGCAAAGCAGCATGACCAGCACTTACTTTCAAGCAGGTAGTTATAAGACGAGCATAAATTAAAAGTTTGTTATGATTTCACTGTAAAAGTCTTATTACACAAACAAGGCAAGTTAGAAGTTCTTATGGTCCTTATGGTGATAATGGATTAACCGTGAAATATGATACGGAGAATAAGAGTTAGCCTTAAGGATACCGTAGACCTTAGCGGATGTCCTTCGCCGAAAAAAAAAAAAAAAAGGATTAACGCGCCATTTGAAGCATAACCACCATAAACTAAATATCAGTGAAAAGCGTTTGAAATGCACTCTCCGGCAAAAACTATTTTGCTTTAGCTTGACCTAATCGTAAACCTAATGGAGCGCGACAATTCGAAATGGACGATATTTCCATAAGCGAATTAATTGCATATCAAATCTGACCGCGCTGTACAAATAAACCTTCTGTGCACAATTTCAATTTCTCCCATTGTGGGAGGTCTATTTTGAAATACGGAATTCCCCCACACGATTTTTTTGAATTTGTTTAGCAATTTTTCAGTAATTTTATGGCATTCCAGTGAGAATCTTTCCAAAATTTTACGAGCACGGTCGGGACAGGCTTACTTCTGATTACTGATCGCTAAACTGGTGACTGTTCAAGTTGTCTTTGTTTGATTATTTTCAAAATCTATTTTTCCAAAAACGAAAGTTTAGCATCGCTGATTGCTTATGTTTTCGGGACAACAAATGTCTTGTATTGAAATGTTTTAATTCACAACACTCCTTCATAACTCTTTCGTTGTGGTAATGTAAAAAAATTAATTGTATCAATAACAATTACAGTAACATACACCGTAACAGTTATGATGAAAATAACAAAATACAAAAAAACCTTTCAACTTTCTCATGTAAAAAACCTTCGGAAGAAATTGTTTAGAATGTGCAATTTCTCCTTTGAAGCATCAGGTTTAAACCAAGGGAGTTTGGTTGTTTCAACTTAGCTGAATACTTAGTCAAATTCTTGTTCAACTGAATAAGATCTTACGAACAAGACGGAAAAGTCTTCATTCCCACATACTACTATGTCTTGTGTAAGTTTAGAAGATCGTGGAGTCGTAGAGCTTATAAGATTGAGCCGTGAGGCTCTCCCTACGAATATATTGTGTTGACATAGAACGTTACACAGTAACTCTGGTCACGGCTAAAGCCTGAACTTTTTCATCTGAAGTCCAGCGGTCTTCCCGTCAATCCCTACATCCCCTCTGTGGTTCGGGTACATTGTGATGCATTCGCACAAAAATAACGAGAGTCTGTGAAAAGACATCTCTTGATTTGCTAAAAATAAGTCATAAAAGAATTTTAAACAAGAGAGTGAATACGTGAAACCCATTCGTCAGAACTAATGAGTTTGTCACCAAATGCTAATGACAAGAACAGTTATTAAAGATCGTTGTGAACATTCATTCAAATCAAATACATCTTTACCGCTACAATCAGCAAAATACATCATGCGAGTAATATTCTCATGACTTTTTGGGCACGCACGAGTAATTCACATTGAAGTGTACTGGACTGTTCCAAATAAGTGGTTTTCCGCAATTAGCCAAGAACGAGTGAAAAACAATTTGTGGAGCCAAAAGGTCAAGGAGGTGCACACATGCGTATAGAGCTTGTGAACATACTTGCCTTTTTGCAAATTTCTAATTGTGACTTAATTGTGACCAACGAAAATCCTTACCCTTAGCTGCATCGGTTTACTGGGTATTTATTGCGAAAATACAGTGGTGAAGATGTTCTTAATTGTTCATCTTATTGGCAATTAGCCGAAAAACTCTTTAGTACATAACGAGTGGTTCATTACTGTCATAAACTATTACCATTTGCGCATGTTTAGGAATGTTCGCTTCGTATTTTCCATTTTCCAAGAAAGACTGAGGCTTTAAATCTTTATTATAAGATTTTTATCAAACTATTTCTCCCGTCAAGTGAGTTTGTAAAACCAGCTTTATGAAATTCTACACTGTTTTAACTCAGAGTTGGTCAATTTGAATACTTTGCAAAACTTTCCATTCGTTTTTCTTCTTATTTTAGGGCTACAGAAGCAGTGACATTGGCAACTTCGGCTTCTTTTACGTCTGTCGTTAACGTTTCGCTATGAACTGAGCGAAAACTGCACTACTAGATGAAGTTTCGATATTTAATTCAGGTATGTCAAAGTAGCCACAAGTCAACAGAATAATGATAATAATAATAATAATAATAATAATAATAATAATAATAATAATAATAACGATAATAATAAGTTTTTGTATAGCGCACATTTCAAGAAACTCTTATGGCGCTTAACAGCACTTTCGGAGGACTTTAGCCAGACTGCATCAAACAGTTTACAATATCAATCGAAGGAAACTTATTTAACGATGCCCCCTTCCCCAATTCCTGGTAAACAGGCCAGACCACATCACAGCAATCTCGTGAGTGGGTTCTCTAACGTCCCCTGCCTAACCAAATTAAATAATTAATAGATGCAAAAGACGGGACCTAAAAATTTATTCCTCCTTATTTGAGAAGACTAGAATGTCTATCAATTTCTTGATATTATAGAAAGGTAGCACATTCTACTCAGTTCTTTTAAGACCTTGAGTGTTGGTCCGAAATCTCGAACCCAACAGTCCGGCGCTCTAACCAATCGAGCTAACTGGGAAGTGATTAGATGAAGTTCTTATGGAACTGAAGTAAACATGATAGCAAGCCTGACGCAATTGTTCCTATGAAATGTGTGTGTTTTTTTTTGGCTGTGCACTAGTTTAATGCAAACTCGATTTCTCTCAGAAAATCAAAATGCAAAAGTTCAAATTTTTCTAAAGGAATTGACTCACAGTTATTCGACGCATGTCATACGCTAATGGTCACTAAAAATTATTTAAAATTTGTCTAAACTAAGATAGGAAAAAGTCATTAGTCTTAAGCAGAGAAAACAAACAAAAGGAAGTTAACACAGCCTCAGGCTAAAGCAGTCAAAGATTTCCGAGAAACGCAAGCCTAAATGTTGTGACATTCACAGCACTTTCAATTCCTTCACAGTGAAACTCCTAGTACTATGTTGGAAAAAAAGTTTTTGATCCCTTTTGGATATTTTCGATAGTTTATTCTAATAAGAAAACAATATTATCTGATTAAGTGTCTCTTAGATATTGAGATCGACGAGGAAAATCACAGTGAGTGTTAGTTTGTCTGCGAGTTCAGGAAAGCCCACCGTGTATGTAATATTATTCGACTACAACTTTGCAATCTTGATCAAGAACTGGCTTTTTATACCGTCATATAGTTTCTTTAATTGTCTTTCATCTATTTCTTATTTTCATTCCGTGCTCGCGATAATAAAGCTATCGAAAAGAGGTCGTCCTGCAGGGATTGACAGCCGCCATAGTATATATACTAGATCGAAGCTATTAGAAAAAGGTCGTCCTACAAGGGATGGACAGCCGCCAAATCATATATACTAGATCAATTTCAAAGTATTGAATGAACGTAAGACACCTTAATTAGGATTTGGCAAAAAAACCAGCGGCGAGTTCGTAGAGGCCCTGCTACACGACATCTCGGATGAAGTCAAACAGAAAGCCCCTGTTGGCTCTTGGGTGACCGTCAGATGGGAAATACGTTTTCAATCGATCGAAAGCCTAATCCCATATAGGTTTTTGAGTGACCTTTCTCTCCCAGTAAAATCGAATACAGAGATACATTTATCCGAAATTTCATCTTGGTATAGTCTATTCTTTAAGCGCATTTAGAAAGACTGCATATTTTTATCAAGCGTGGAGCGTGTCGAGTTTACTCACGGGATGTAATGGAAGGAGGGGAAAAATAATCGCTTCGGGCCAGGCAGTGCACACTAGATGAGCGTGGCCCCTGCTCAACCAGACTGGATAGCGGGCGAAGTGAGCATCCTCATCGAAACACTTTGCATGTCTTACAATTTCTTCTATTTCGTATTTTGTTGTGCTCTACAGAAAAAAAGGGTCGTCATAATTCCTTTTCCAAACAAGTGGTTTAGTTTTGTTCTGGTTGATAATAGCTTTTATATTTTGTCATGATAAATATTGGTAAAAACCACGGCCATTGCCGTCTCGTGGGTTTATCAGAAGCAGTAATGCGTTACATTTGGTTGCCCATTAAATCTCGGCCAATGAGAACACAGGATTGTCCAAGATGGCTTCCCTCGACCATCTTCTCTTCGATGCGGACCCGGATACTCGAGGATAGCCATGATTCCACGTTGTCATTCGTGCAGGGAGGCTCTCGGACGAGTGTTTATATCCAATGAATCTAAAGAGCACATCCTTGAAAAACACTATGACCTAAAAAATTCCATTGATGTCTCCGTATTTTATCCAAATGTTGATCTCCAGTCGGTCTTCGAAATATTCAAGGCCAGCCTTCGCGCAGGCATTCTGGAAGCAAATTATGATTATTCAACCCGACATGAAAGGCTGGTTTATAGATGCTCATTCGCTTTTGTAGTGGGTACCTTTCCAATTGAACATCGATGGGGCATCACAACACACGAAACCTGTTATTCCAGAGTCGTTTGTGACACCTCCAGATGCCCACGATGTCATCGTTCTGTGCCCACAGGGGTAATAACAGCTTTTCCGGATGGACGCCCCAACTAACCATCCCACATCGAGAGTGAAGCGTGCTGAGCTAAAATCCATAGTTTTCACTAAATGGAACTGAGGAACTATCGAGTATACCCTTGAAGTAGAATAGTCAATCAGAATGATGTACCTTAATCATTGTAAATGGGTTAGATGATGGCTGAATTGAATTCAAGCTGAATTAAGAAACAAAGTAGAGCTGTAACTTTCTAATGTAGGTGATATAATTGCATCAGATTGCAATGACATAGTTCAAGTGCTGTAGGTGTTACCAACCTCAGATCCATTTCAACTCAATCAAGAAGCATCCGATCATCTCCTGCCTAAACTACCTGAATTTCCACGTGATCTAGCTCAACATACTCGAATTCATTCACTCTAATTCCTTTGAATGCGTTCTGTTCACACTGTTTGACAGATGCAACATGGCGTGATCTTTACCTTTACCTTTAGTGATAGCTTCTCAAAAAAGTTATTTCCAGCCCTCCTATGTTCTTAACGAAGTTTCCTTGCATTTTTGGAAAGTGGGCATTCAGCAAATAAAGAAGATAATCATGTTCTGCAAGTCCACGAGTCTTTTTAAATAAGCTGATCCTATAAAGGAGGGGCTGGGGGACAAGGGTAGTTTTGAAAAGTGATGAACTGAGAATAACTATACTAAGACTTAGGGAAACAAAAAGTAGGATAAATTTCTAACTGAATCAAAGTACTGCAGTATAACTGACATGTGTAATCTCGAGGTATTCCGAAGACTTCTCGCATAATTCGTTTGCGAAAATGTTTCTTAGGGAACTGACTTGTGGGAAAGCTTAAATGCTGTATTTTGGATGTAGTTTGATTGTATTTGTGTAATTTTGTTGTAGCAAACTCAACAAGACTTGAGCGGCAAGATGTTGCATGGAGGAATTCAATAGCATGGTGAGATTTTACTTTGCCAATGTATGGGACCGTTAGACTAGCAAAAGTGAGGGGGTTGTTTCATTCTTCAAGAATAAGGTAGTACTTTCATGCCCAAAAAATACATGTGATTGGATTTGCAAAAACCTGCTCATTATGTTGCAAGATTGACAGTCTTGTTTATACCCAGACAGAGCTCAGCCATTGGGTAAATACCTTGTATTTGTAGGGTGGTTGAGAGCTTATGACGGGCAGCTAACTCCTGTTGCATCCCCTGTCTTCAAGCCTGCCTGACATAAGAAAATGCAGGTGACCAAACGTCAAGACTAGTGCCGACATGCAGCCCAGCCACCAACCTATATAAAGGTGGGTTGTAAATGGCTCAGTGCAGAAGGCTAAGGGCAAAGGGAGTATATGTTTTTAAAACCCTTTGACAGACTGGCATTTTTCTCCAAGGCTGGAAGGGGCTAGTCTTATTCATCGAGGCTCAAAGACTGCATTGTAGGATTGGTAGTCAGGCTTATGCCCTGTCAAACCTCAGTTACTGGGCTAATAGTCCATGGCTAGAGAGTGGTTGAGTGTTAAAAAGCATATCATTTGGGGAGAGGGTTCAATTGACATTGCAAAGCCTGATGGCTAAGATCTCGATTTGGATTTTCACTTTAGCCATGGAGTGTTAGCCCAGTAGCTAAGGTGTGACAGGTACAAGCCTGGTTACTAATTCTGCAATGCAGGCTTTAAAAAGCGGTGAATAAGACAAGCCCCTTACAGCCTTAGAAAAAAATTCCAGTGGAGCAAGTGGTTTGAAAAACCAACCATTCCCACTCTTTAGTTCCGCACAGATTAACTTGGAACCCACCCCAGGATAGAATGTTGCGATGCCCATCTTCAAGTGAAAACCTAGCCACAAGATTTTTGCAATGTCAATTGAGCCCTCTCTCCCAAAGGCGTGCTTTTTAGCATTCAACCACCCTGCAGCCATGGAGTTGCAGATCTGTGGCTGGTGTGTGACAGGGTACAATCGTGACAACCAATCCTGCAGTGCAGGCGTTGAACGTGGATGAATGAGACAAGCCCCTAACAGTCTTAGAAAAATATGCCAGTTGACCAGGGGGTTTTGAAAACCTACCCTCCCTACTCCTTACCTTTCCCCACAGAGTCCTACGCAGCCCTCTGTTGGATAGGTTGGTGGCTGGGTTGCTTGCGTGGATATTTAGGTTGGTGCAGGCTGGCTTGAAGTTGGGCGATTCCCGCCTCGAAGGGAAACCTAGCCATCAGCTGTTTACAACCCCTTTTAAGCCTGCTGCTGTGGACTTTCAACCACCCCTCGAACCACAGGGTGCTCACCCACTTCCTGAGCTTTTGCAGGGTATGAGCCTGAGTCTCAATCTTGGACAAATAGGGTCGGTGAGTCTAATCAAATATATATCTGAGTGAAATCATTAAAAACATACCCGGCAAATAAACAACAAACTCCAAGTCAATTTCCAAGCACACTCCTTTCAAAATTGAAATTTTTCCCAACCCAACCACACCCCCAGCCGAAATAATCTAGTCCACTAGAAGAAAGGTAGAAAGTATAGGTCTGACTCTGACTTAATGAAAAAATTCCAAAAGAAATTCAGCCTGATAAGAACTAAACCAGCGTGTCCACTTTTATGCAAAAAGCAAATCTCCCATGAAGCCTACCTTCCCAACCCCTGAGCTTTCCAATCAAAACCATTTGAAACCCACCCTTAGTGGTTGGCCTGCAGGTAGGAATTAGCCTTGTCGTTAAGCTCACTGTATTTTCAGTGGCCAGGCTCAATTGATATTGCAAACACCTTGTAGTTGTTTTCATTTGAAGGCGGGCATCGCTCACCCTCAAGCCAGCATGGCTGAAGAAAACGCGGGAAGCTTAACGTTTAGGCTAGAGCCACCATGCAGCCCAGTCACCAACTTATCCAAGGGCTGGTTACAAATGGCTCTCTGAGGAAAGCTCAGGGATGGAGAGGGGAGGTTTTGAAACCCTCCTAGTCATCTTGCATTTTTCCTTTGGGCTGAAAGGGGCTTATCTCATTCATCTTGGTTGACACCCTGTATTGCAGGATTTGTAGTCAGGCCTGTATCCTTTCTTACCTCAGCCACAGGGATAACATTCTAGGACTGTATGGTGGTTAAGTTTGTAAAGAATACCTTTGGAGAGAGGGCTCAAGTGACATTGCAAAAACCTTGTGGCTCGGAGGTAGGCATCGCCCGACTTCAAACCAACCTGGCTGAGAAAAATTCAAGGGGCAAAAGTCAAAGCTAGCGCCTGCAGGTAGCCCAGTCACCAAACTATATAAAGTTGCGTTGCAAATTCCTTTGTGTGGAAGATGTAGGGGGTGGGGAAGGTAGGATTTGAGTCATCAGTCATGAGAGATCTTTGGTGGAAATCTTGGTTGAGTTCTTACGAGGTTTAATTTGTTTTGGACTTTGTCCCTTTATTCAGTCAGACCCATGCTTTATAGCATTATTTATCATTTATTTATTATTATTTATTTCTTTTATTGAACTTTATTTATACACGGGTAAAAACATCAGGACTTAAAGCAAATACTAAAATTACATTAATTACATTGTTAAGATACTAATCTACTACTAGTTGAACCTAATAACAACAAAACAACAACGAAGTGCCTACTTTCCATGAATGCTGTGTGATTAATTAATTTATTTACTATCAAAAAGGAAACCTCTGCAACCGGATTTAAAAGGAGCGATAGTTTCTGCTTGCCATAGATTAGTAGGTAAGCTGTTCCACATCAGCGCACCATTATAGCTGAGACTGTTTTTTAGAAAATTGATACGGGGGAGTGGAACAGCTAGTTTGCCCTCACAATTCCTAAGAGAGTAGGTAAATATTGCACTCCGATCAGTAAACATTGATTTCAAATAATCAAGGGCGAGACCATTAAGAGACTTATAGACCATAGTGGCTGTCTTTAATTCTCGTTGAAGGCTAAGTTTTGCCAGCCTAGTCTAACAAAGAGATCATCCGCATTGGCATCGTATGAAGAAGAAGTTAAAATACGCGCAGCGCGATACTGTAGTTTTTGTAATTTAATGGAAGAAGACTTGTTGAAACCCCTTGTAGTGGACTAGATCATTTTGATTGGAGTTGGGGTGGGGCTGGGGAAGTTTTCAACTTTGAAAGGTCACTTGTTTTCTTGGATATTGACTATGAGTTTGTTGTCTTTT